TGATTTTTGAAGAGAAAATTGTTCTGATCGAATCGTGAGATTTCCAAAGATTCCTAGCCCGACTATATAATGAGAAAATAGTGAAAATGCCGCTATCACTATTTCCAAGATTTCAACTTCTAATTGTTTGTTTTGCCAGACTGTCTAAAGCTCAAATATATACAACCTGCACAGAGGATGTGCAAAATCAAATAAAGAAGAAGAAGAAGAAGAAAAAAAAGAGATTCACATGTTAGAAGCAGTAACTTCTTGCCACTTTATTGGGAAAAAGACAATTACTCAAAATAATGGCCCATTATGATAATTATACATTGAGCAATAATCCAGCTCAGTGTTCTGCATTTTATGTTGCTGATGTAAAACGTGGTGGGCTACAAAAGTCTTGTGATTTAATAAACTGATATTTTATGAAGGCCCTAACACCCAACAGAGGAATATTTATGGTCTGCATGTTAACCTTTTTGAACCATTTCAGTTTTCATTAGGTGCAACAGCTACAACTTCAGCCTTTAATTCTGTCTAAGCTGCAGCTGTGGTGTGTAACGCAGTGATGTACGACCCTCTGCAGCTGAGGTCCTACCTTGGTGTGTGCAATGAGCAAACAGTTGGAGTGCTCATGCTCACAGGCGATCTCATACTGAGGCAACATGTCTACCAGCTGCTGGACGAAGGCGACCACTTCCTGGTGCCAGGGGATGTTTGCCATCGTCAGGCTGCTGGCCGAGCTTTCCCCACAGTACGTCACCCCCTGGACACACAGTCGGAAACAAAGCACAGAAAAGACAGGGATTTAAAATGTACTGACCCATGGAAAACAGCAAGATGACAAGATGAAAATCCACAACAAACTTTAGCAAAACAGCTTTTGTTTCTACACAAATGCTTGACCTGCACTGGATTTAGGAGTCAGATAATATATAATTTCTACTCTAACGTTAAAGAAAAAAACTCTGAAATACGTGCCTAAATACCTATACCAATATATCTGTGATAATCCGCTAACAGGCAACAATATCAGCATTTAAATGTTTTACGTATTCTGATAAAGGCTCAAATCACAATCTCCAGCTAGTGTCACACATGATCACTGGACACCATATGATCCTGGGCTGTGAATTAAACGAAGAGAGTTGTTTTGACAGAGAATCAATTAAAGGTCTCCTGTTGTTTTCACTTTCATTTGGGTTATACAGTGTTAAGGGAGAGCAGAGCCTAGAAGTCAGACAAGTGGTTTATGATAAATGTGTTGCTAAGTTGAATCCCATACTGCTGTACAAACTCTACCCAGGGAAAGACAGCGAGGCAGACTCCTGCATTTTCTTCATTCAACAGCATCAAAAAATGACTAACTGACCAAGCACATTTTATTTAGTGAACTTTGACACATTGGACACTCAGGATTCTCAAGGTCACATAAGATAATGACACTAAAATATTAGATGAATTACAGTTTCCATCTGATATCATCATGACTTGCACTGGCCAGATAAACCATCTCTCAGTAATAAAATATAAACATATTACAAACAAACCAACAAGTCAGTCAGTCACTGGAACATTTTGGCGATATTATAAAATGTAATTGCTACTTGACACCAAGGAGGTAAAACACAAGGTTCAAGTCCTTTGACTGACAGCAAGTCATATTTCACTGCTTTTGAAGGCTTTATTTTCTCTAATGGTCTACAACGTCTCATTCAGAAATAGCTACAGTATGCATGGTGATTACTTGGGTTGCATGGAATCTGACGTAACCTGCCACAGTTATGGAAGGCTGGAAACAGAGCAGAAAGAAGGTGCCCTGCACTGCAGGATTATGGGAGTAAACGGCTGACAGACAAGCTGAAAAAATGCAAAGATTTGTTCATCTAAATCTTTGGATCAGGTCAACTATACCTGCAATCAAAGAACTACCTCTACTGTTTAAATAGATTCTGGTAGTCTGAAGAGTAAGATGGATAAAAACAGGACTTCATACACAGCTGATTATCACCAGCTGACATAATTTCACATTCAGATGGTGACAGAAATGAAGTAGGAAGTGAAAAACCATGTGGCCTTGGCCACAAAAATCGATCCAAACCAAAGGCTAAACATTGAGTGTTTTCTGATCAATAGTGGAAAATCTGTGCTGTGGTTACAAGTGATGAGGAGGCACTGAGAGGAGAACAGCAGCTCCCTGCGGTACAGACAAACAAGTTAGGCTGAGAGAAGAAAGGTGTGAGAGTGAGTGAAACTGCAGCCACTATTAACTAAAGCAGAAAAACCTGGACTGACTATTGTGTTAACAGATCGATCTAATTGGTGGAGTCCTTGAATTACATGCCAAACATATTATAGAGGTGGCTGATACAACTGATCTAGAATCTGAAGAAGTTGTATGCATTTAATTGTTCAGTATTTCTGTGAGCATCAACACCGGATCAGCCCATCAGTCTTGTAAACCTGGTCATAAGGAGAACATTCTGGGTGATAAAGTGAGAGGAAAGCCCTGCACCAGGTGGGTAGCAGGCAGAGCTGTAAGATGATCCCTGAAACTACAGATGGTTCTGTGTGGACCCAGGTACAGCATACCAATTACTGTATGTGCTGGAACATCCAGAACAAGGCTCTGGACGTTTGTGTCTCTTTGCTATAGAGGACAATATTTGCCTTTTAAATGTGGTGAAGCTTAATTATGAAGTACGTAACCTACAATACCTCATAAATAAAAGAGGAGAAAAACTGCTTCAGTGAGAACAAAGTGAATCAGAAAATTTCACTTCACTGTGGTTTTGTTCTAAAACCTCACCTCTGCACAACGCTCTGGGAAGGATTTTGTGTGAATGCAGCCAAAATGCTCACTTCTGTCTGTTCTGCTATGCACCTGGTGTGTATATGTGTGTTTGTTTGTGTAGCCCTGACCTCAGACAGACACACAGATCTGAAACTAAATGCATATAATAGGCTACTGTAATTCATGATTTCCATTTTTAGCCTAAACATATCAACAAAATTAGATAACACCCTGTTCAGCTCCTGTTCCAGCCAGTCATTCATAATCGACCCGAGCTGTTCAGCTTTACACCTCACACACTGTATCATACTGATGACTATATACTCTCAGAAACTTTGTGTTCGCTTAAAAAAGTGTGAATGTTTACGATGTGAACAATTTCCCTCAAGTTTTAGTAAAAACCAACGAAACCACTGAAAGGTCTTAGCTGAGGATATAAAAAATAAAAAAATTATAAAATTAAACATTAAGTGGCCTAATTTATGAAAACTGGTTAAAACCATACATGTTAAAAATAAGTCTGATAAAGCTCCACAGAGATTCTATACCTATGCAAGCAGTGGTTTGCCTAGGGAAATACAAACCTCACTGCTCCACTTTGCTTTATTTATTTGCTTTCCTCTGTGACAAACCGCACAAGAAACATCAAGAACTTTCTCCTATTGGTCTGGCTATTCTGAGACTTCCATTCACATCTGTAAAGGAAAAATAGAAAATAATAGCCATTCTATGCTCAAAGCTCATGCTATCTACTGTTCACCCACATAGTCTGGGCCCAGCTGCCTATCTGAAAGACACCTATGAAGGCCACATACCCAGGACACATTTCTGACTGGTTCCAGCTAGTGGGGTGAACTGTACAAAACCTGACGTTTACTTCTTTCCTTTGTCATTCACCGAGTCTTTGCACTGTGTGACCTCTTGATCAAGATACTGGCATTGTGCTTATGCTATTGTCTGATTGCTTAATAAACCACACGAAAGACAACATGGAAGCCTCTTCTTTGGTTTCCATAACAACATCAATTCCAACTTGAACTGCACCAATTTCTTCAGTAATTTAACCACATGCTGTACGTCTTGTACAGCTACTTGTGAATTCACCTCCAGAGAAAACACAACTCTTTAGGGGCTGAGTTTGGAGAGAGAGGAGAAAGGGTAAGGCTAGGGGGTAGGCAGGACAGAATGGATGAGGGACCTTGGTGTTATCAGTCTTGTTATCGAGACACGCTGAATAAAAATCAACTATACAGGGATCAGTATAAATCACAAGAAATGGGAAGTGTAGAGAATGGAGCAATGGGAGGAGATAGGAAGAGATCTTTGAGATGTACTGAGAAAATAAATG